GCACTGACCGCCCAGCCCCACAGCAGGAGCAGCAGAGCCTGGAGCTGAACCAGGGCCGATCCACCCTGTTCCCTCCTCTGAGCTGAGCCTGAGCTGAGGGGGAGGACTGGGTGTCCGGACCCTTGTCCTGCCCGCCCCTCCCTGTACAGTGTCACCGTCACGGAGACAGAGGGGACAGGCCCCATAACATCACATCCTGGGGGGTCCCTGTGAGGCCCCCTCTCCCAGGAGGTCAGGACCAGAACTGACAGGAAATCTAAGCTCTGGACAAGGATTCTCTCCTTGACACCTGGAGACACTGAGGCCCAGACAGGGGAAAGGATGTCCAAGTGAGAGACTTCAGAGGGACCTGAATCCCTTATAGCTCAGCCCCTGTCCCCACGGAGACACCCACCTCCTCCCCACAGAGACCCCCACTTTCCTCTCTGTGGGCCTGACTCCCTGGGTCAGAGAGACTGATCCTGAGAGCCCCTGCAGCCCTTGGTTCCATGAAATGTGACCCCTACTCCTAGCAGCCTTAGGACACAGCCTGCCCTTAGTGCATGGGCGGCATTAGGCCCTCAGACTCAGAACTGCCCAGGGGCGCTGTCTTGCTCTTAGCAAAGAGCACCTGGTGAGAGAGGGGCAGGGTCCCAGGGGACCTGGGAAGGACAGGAAGAGGGGGACACCATGGGGCTGACCCTGGAGCCCCCCTCACACACAGTCCTCACCAAGTTCTTCCCACTGCCCACCTGGCGCCTTCTGGACCAGGTGAGGGGAGGGGTGAGGAGGGGACAGGGGGTCTCTGAGGGGCAGATCTCCTCTGGGTGACCATCCCTATAGTCCCTCCCTCCCTTTCATCCCATGATTGTTCTGGGGACAGGACCCTAAGCTGACAGTACAGCAGACAGGGTCAGGGGCCCTCACCTGAGACCAGGAGCTTCAGTGGGTCACTGGGTGGTGACAGCAGGAAGGGGGAGGAGCTGTTTGAGCTGTAGCACCTGTAGGTGCCACCGTGGGCTGAGGTCACAGGACTCATGGAGAACTCTGCCTGGTACAGCCGAGCTCGGTTTTCTGATCTCAGACGAAGCAGGGGGTTGGCTGTCCCCTCCTTGGACAGCAAGAACGTGTCCCTCGGGCTATGTGACTGACACAGCAGGGTCACATTCTCCCCTGAGGCCACCCAGGGGCCTGGCTGCACCGAGAGGGAGGGTCTGTCAGGCAGGTGTCCTAGAGAGAGGGAGGGGGGGGAGGGTGAGGGCTGCCTGCCCACCTGTTCTGCCCTGAGAGTCATCAGGCCTCTCTCTGAAAACCCTCCTCTCTGTCTGACTCTGTTTCTCTGAGTCTCCCCCTCTCCCCTCCCACCCCCTGTCTCTCTCTGTCTCTCTCCCTCCCTGGGGCCCTGCACTGTCATTCTGGCCTCACCCCCTGAGACCACAGCAGGGCCTGTGCAGAATCGGGTCCCTGACTGAACCCAGTGGCTCCTCACCTGCCACCAGGATGTCCAGGGGGTCACTGGGGGCCGACCACTCAGAGGAAAGGTTGTATCCACCGTAGCATCTGTACCGGCCCCCGTGGGATCTGCTCACAGTGTCCAGGGGGAAGTGGGTCTGAGAGAGCCCAGCCTGGGGCTGCAGGACAAGGCTCTGGGGGAGGTCCCGTCCCCGCTCCTTGTGCAGAGCGAATCTGTCATAGCCGACATCAGAGCGACACTGGAGGGTCAGGTTCTGTCCAGAGGCCACAATGGGGCCCTGCTGGCTCAGGAGGTTGGGCTTCCCAGACTCACCTGGGGAGACCAGACATGAATTGCAGGGGCTGCTCCTCCCATAACCCTCTTCTCTTGGCCTGGCCCCCAGATCTTACTGTCTCTCTGTGTCTCTGGCCCAGAAGCCCATGTAAGCCTTCACCCCACCTTCTCACATGGGGCTCCACTCCCAGCAAACATGCCAACAATGTATCAGGTGCCTCAATCCTTGGATGGGACAATAATGGGTGGGGCCCTGCTGGCTCAGGAGGGAGGGCTTCCCAGACTCACCTGGGGAGACCTGACAGGAATTACAGGGGCTGCTCCTCCCATAAACCCCCTTCTCCTGGCCCGGCTCCCTGGTCTCACTGTCTCTGTCTGTGTCTTTACACCAGGGTCACCTGTATACCCTTCACACTCTCACATGGGGCTCCTGTCACAACAAAGATGCCAATAATGTATCTGGTGCCTCAATCCATGGATGAGACAATAATGTGACTCACCTGAGATTAGGAGCTGCAAGTGCTCACTGGGGTGTGACCACACCTGGGAGCTGTTCCTGTAAGAACCATAGCATCTGAACCTCCACCTGTGGTTGGGGGTCACGGGGCCCACAGCGAACAGGGCCTGGAACTGCCCACTGGGCTGTCGCTGTGAGTTATGGGTCCAGGAGAGCCTGTGA